CTGTCAGAGCAGTCTGAGGCCCTGTCTGTCTGTCAGAGCTGTATGAGGCCCTGTCTGTCTGTCCGGCTCTGTGTGTCTCCCCAGCTGATGCAGCAGCAGGCAGCTCTAATGGCTTCAGTGACTCAGGGGGGGTACCTCAGCCCCATGGCTGCCTTCGCCGCCGCCCAGATGCAACAGATGGCAACACTCAACGTCAACGGGCTGGCGGCGGCTCCCATGACCCCAACCTCAGGTGAGCTACCCAGGCTGGCGCTCTGGACTCCACTCCCGGGGGTACACCAGGGGTACACTGATAGAGGGAAGCATGCAGAGCTACACCAGGAACCTCCTTCTTCCACTGGGCTGCTCCCGAGTCAGCTGAACTGAAGCAAAGAGACATGGCTCAGGGCGCCCTGAGTGTAAAACACAAGAGCAGTGAACTACCAGGAAAATGTCGAGGTGGAATGGGAAATTCTCTGTAAACTCATTCCTTCCAGACAGACTGTTATATCCACTCAGCTTTACTCTGAGATGCCATTATGAAGAAATCCATAAGCCACCCATATAACACTTTAGAGTGTATTTAAATAAATGACACCTGAAGAAGACTCCACAGCTGAAACGTTTCTTTCTCCTTTTTTTCAGCATGGAATAAACCTATTACTTGTTCCTCTAAATAAATGACACCATTAAGATATATATGCACCAAAACCTCATACAAAGCTCATTCATTCCTCAGCCGTCTCTCAGCTGAGATCCCCCCCCAGCACTGACCACACTGGGCTACAAGGGACTGGGGGGCACGTTCATATTTGGGTGGCTAGTTCGTGTTTTGGGAAAGTGACTGTCTCGTATGGCTGTAATCAGGATTTATGTACAATGGAAAAGACAGCTTCATAATAAACTGTCAAATAAAACATTCAGCGGTTTTTATAAATCACCTTTGCACACCTGACAGGGGAACCCGTTGAGATGCCTGGTGGAACAGCTGATTCTGTAGTGGGATGTACCGTGCACTGAATCAGCCGGGTAGTCAGAGGAGCCCGAATAGATACTCCTGCACCCTTTCATACACCCTTTCTCTCTCTTCTCTCCCTCCGTCTCGTCTTCTGCATCCTCCCACTCTCTTCCTCAACACCCTCTCTACCTGTTTGCCCCTTCCACCCCCCTGCCTCTTGCCCTTCCTCTTCCTCTCCACTAGGTGGCAGCACCCCTCCTGGCATCACGGCCCCAGCAGTGACCAGCATCCCCTCCCCCATCGGAGTCAATGGCTTCACGGGCCTGCCCCCGCCCCAAGCCAACGGCCAGCCCCCCGCTGAGGCCGTCTTCACTAACGGGATCCACCCCTACCCAGGTGAGCAGGGCAGGGTCAGGTGGGCGAGCCGGTGTTTATCATATCACTGCACCGTCTGTGAGAGAAGCTCGTGATCACTCTGTGAGAGAAGCTCGTCCTGAAGCACAGGAACCTGCTTTCAACCTCCGTCAATCTCCCTGCGTGCTCCCTCCCCCCAGAATCACACAGTGGAAAAAGTACAAAGGTTCAGTATTGTAAAGAGCTGCTCCATTTAACATGTTAAATATATATATTAATTAACTTCCCATATTACAAATATCCAAAGCAGCTAACTGATTTTTAAATGTGCCTTCTGATCTGCCTGTGATTTGCTCTATCTCTTACAAGGAGAGACTAACAAAATAAAAGTGTATATTCCTTACACTTATGTAGCACTTTTCTGGACACTCCACTCAAAGCTTTTTACAGGGACTCCCCTCCACCACCACCAGTGTGCAGCCCCACCTGGATGATGGGCTGGATGGGCTGGATGCCCTGGATGATGAATTTCCCTACGGGAATAATAAAGTATTATAGGAAGGAGAGCAGAGTGATGAAGCCAGTCCAGAGATGGGGATTATTAGGAGGCCATGATTGGTAAAGACCAGGGCAAAATTTAGCTAGGATACCAGGGTTAACAGCCCTACTCTTTTCAAGAAACAAACTGGGAATTTTAATAGCCAAGGAGAAACAGGACTTCGGTTTTACCAGGGGATCTCCCCATCCAGGTACTGACCTGGCTCACACCTTCTTCAGTGAACTGCACATTGTGAGTTGCAGGGTGATATACCTCCTTGGTACAGGAAATGGAGGCACCTCTCACACAAAGGATTGAGAAATAAGATACCAAGCCTGGGTGATGAATCTGATCCCCTAGCTTCTTTCAGGAAATAGCTGGATGATGTCCTCTCATCAGTTAGGTGCTGGAAGCCAAACAAGCTATATAGTCTGAATGGTCTTAAAGCCCTGTCTGTCTGAATAAGAGACTTGGCTCCAATCAAGCAGAAGCTGATATCTAGTAGACTGGTGAAGTATTAACTATAATACTTATCTTGCAGGCCCTCATAGTTATCTGTGTTTCTACACACCTGCAACAGCTGCAGCAGCTGTGAGAATGGTTTCCTACACACCTGAAGCAGGACCCTAATAAAGTAGGGAGACTTTAGAGATGACTGTTACTGCAAGTACTTAGAGTCCACGTGAATTACATTCCAGCTTGCTTTTTTACTTTGGCTTTTGCAGATAGACAATACTGAATATCAAAAAATCATCCTACCCCACATCGGAAATATGTTGCTCTAGCAGATTCCAAGCGCAAGGAAATATGGGAGTGCAATTTTGATATGTAGCTCCTTGAATCCAAATTGGAAAGCCAGAATTTAAATTAAACTTTCTGCATCCGGTGCGGTAAGATGAAAAGATGAAAAAGCACTCTAGAATATCATGTTTGTGTGTCTTTAGAATAAACAGCAGGACATAGAAGTAGCTGTAACAGCTGCCATCTGCAGCTTTTCCTTCTGTATTAAGCTCAGACGTTTTCAGACCATGCTTTCCCTATTCCTCCCGGACTAATGTGCCAACTCTCCGAATGAAAATTGGGATGGAGTCACTGAGGAGATCTAGGAGTTTTAATCTGTTAACTCAGCCATGATTAACTGCATGTTCTGACTAATAAAGTGAGGATATGCTCCTACTCATGAATGTACTCTTTCAGTGGGATTCCGTGCTAATGGCATGATAATTAGGCAGTAATACAATTTCATTTGCAACCACAAATCTCAAGCTTTTGTCTTAAGCCCCCGGATAAATGAAGTGTTTGCAAAGAGTGACTGGAGCAAGGGCAGTGAAAGCTTTATAGTGCGGTCATGTATTTTCGATCATTTTTTGTTTAACTCCCCTGGAAGGTCGCCCCATGCCCTCTCTCTACTCCACATTTGAAGTTGTGGATCTAGTCTAGATTATACCACCACAGTGAGTCTTACAGTCTGACATGAGCTCTCTGCTGGTTCTCAGATTCCAGAATAACTCCCCCCACATCCCTCAGCCCCTCAATCACCACTTCCAATGCACAAGAGCGGGATTGTACTTGCCGATTCAAGTTTAATAATTTACAGAATAGGTATCCATTTGAGATGTGCTGGCCTCTCATTCGGGGAAGTTTGCAAACTGTGACAGGAGCAAGTGAGGGGGAGTGTTACATGCCCAGAAACAAAATACCAGGCTTGTTTGACCAGTTTTGTTCTCAGCAGGCAGTAGAGAGGAGAGCACTGTACTGCAGGGGGTTACTGGGTCTGTACAGACATCATACTCGCGGTAATGGAGAACAGTGGTGACTGGATGATGAACTGTCCTTATCTGATATAGTGTTAGGGAGAAACATGGCATGTTCTCTGTCTCCCAAATGAGTGCGCTAGACAAACAGAGAGTCTGCAGCACACGTGGATCAGTGACAACCTCCACATGAGCCACTGCCCTCTCAACAGAGCCTGGCAGTGACTTATTCATCACCTCGGTTACGATGAAGAGAAAACAGGCTGGTCACTTCTTTATAGAGCTGTTCACTGTGTGAAGGCCCTACTGTCCCAACATGCAATGCTGCTAATAAACATAATAACAGAAACTGGCACTTACAGGACACGAAAGGATTGTGGATAGTTATGAATACATAAATATTTAAATTCATATACCATTCTCAAACATAGTGAAACCTGCCTGGAGAAAGACAGTCAGTCAGGAGTCACACACCACCATGCATGCTAGGATGAGCTGTTTGCCCCTCTTTGACTACCGCATGAAGTTTATTGCGTACTTCTTACGGCTATTTGGATAAAAAACAAATAGGAATGGAAAATTTGAAATCAGACCAGAAAGCAGAGTCATTAATTACTCCAAGCCTGGACCGACGTTTAGTAGCAATTTAAAACTTCACCTCTTCTTTCCTGTAGTTTACTGTTCGCAGATACCTCTGGAAAGTGAAAAATTGTGGGGGTTATTTCAGGGTCTAATATATGGTTTCCACCTCATACTGCAATGTCAGCCTCAAGCCTTCTACCAATTTTTGTTTCTATATAAAAATAAAAGAAATAAAGTACCTACTGTAGGCTTGACCATGTTTTGAGTTACAGTAGTTTCCCTGTTTCCAAGATACAATATTGTTAACTAGAAGGGCTTTCCAATTCATTTTTATTTTCTCTTTCCTGCTTCATTGAAACCAGGTTGGAATAGCCAGCTAGCATTCAGCACAGCCTGTAAGGAGGAAGTTAATGCGTGTGTTTGTTCTAGATGTATATCACAGAGCCCTGAGTCTTTTCTGATTCAGAAACAGCAGAGTTGCTGTCTCACCAGGGTGGGCTGGCGTAGTGCTTCCTGGGGTTTCTATGGAACTGCAGGTCACCAGTGTCCTAAAGGTGTCTCCGCCATCTCTCCTCCATGCAGCCTTTGAAAGTTCTTCCTTCCCAGTTTGTCAGCAGGCGTCTACAGCTTTAGGGTAGGGGAACAGCCTGTTTGTGAACATGCGGTCTCCAGGCTGTAGGACACATCGTGCACGCCGTGATGTTACGTTCAAGAGCCTCTGTGAGAAAGTGCTTTTTTATCGGAAGGTAACGGGGGTGAGAATAGGTGTCAGGTCTGTGGTGAGAGACTTAAACATTTTACTTAAGTCCACTATTTAAACACCTTGAGAAGGTGCTTAACAAGGTTTTGCACTTGAATAGCTAGTAGCAACCAAACCGGCACGCAAGACTTGGTGGGCTGTTCTCCATGTTCTCTTACTGTCAGACTGGAATTGAGGGCACACTGTTAGGGTGTCAATAAATATGTGCATTCATAAATATAGACTTTATATCATTTAAACAGCTGAAAGTCTTTAACCTCTAACAACGATGTGATTTTCTTAGAAAGTGTGCTTTAAGTTAATCTGAAATTGCTTAAATGATGTTCAGTGCTTTGTGAAGTAGTCTTCAGACCTGGACACTCTGCAGCTCAGTAGACAAACACCGAACACCTGAAAGCATCGCAGCCCAGTATGCAAACCTAAAGCTACACAACATAGTGCAGCACAGCACTCTAATGATGACTTATAGAACACAGAGCAGCCCGGCGCTCTCAACTGGAGCTCGTGAACACGCTGCTACCCAGTACTCAAACACTGAGCTCCCGAACAAATTGTAGCCCCAGCTCTCTAACACCGACGTCCTGAACACACTATAGCCCACAGCTTTAACACTGGGTTCTTGAACACACTGCAACACAGCACATTAACACAAACCTGCCAAAAACACTGCAGCCCAGTCTAACAGGGCTCACTGATCCTGTAACAGGAGGTGGTGTCACCCTCTTAGAGGGCACTGAATTATCCAAGGGCAGTACAATCAGTCTTGTGGCATAGAATAATTCTTTGCTGTCAGAGAAGTGGTGTTGAAGCTGGAGTTGCCTGTTAGAAACTATGATCACAGCACAGGCATAGTGACTCAGTTTCCAGACACTGACATTTCTCAGAAGCTGAGGATCGTGCAGAGAAGGATGAGTTTTGAGTAAGAGAATTTAAGAAGGTGTGGATACATAAGATGATGATACCCCATGAGATTCTAAATAGCACTGAATTCCCCCAATAGCAGGATTTCTAGTCTCTTGGCATAGCAAAATGCTCTTCTTGTCTGAGCTGTTGCGCTGCATGGCTGTGAAGCTGGAGCTGCCCATGAACTGTCATAGCCATATCCCAACAGGCTCAGTGCTACAGCCATCACAACTGTACTCTCACATTGAAAGCATCCCTTTCTGTACCACAGTCGCCCAGTGCTTGCTTTCTCTCTTCTCTGTTTCATTACGTTATTGAAATTTTAAAATATCATGCCTTCTTTTATTGAAAGGTTTCCAGAAATGGTATCCCAAATGGACACAAAAAGCGTGAAAAAAGAATCAGGCAAAATGCACCAATATATAAAATATATCAAAATCTACTAGGATGCTGATTGAACAATTTCATTGTCAGGCAAAGACTTTAAATTCTTTTTCGAGGGATCAAACAAAAAGACCTGCATTAGAGAACAGCAAAGTGTGACTTGTGGTGTACTTTATCTGGAGGTCAAGAACATAAGAGATTGGCTTCATAGCCTTAAACGTCCAAAGCATTATCTTACTCCATGCCCACTTCAACAGGAAGCCAGTGCAGTGACTTCAATATAAGGTTTATGTTTACCAGATAGAAACCTTGTCAGAACTCCTGCTGCTCAGTTTGTAACAAACTGAACCAAGCAATGTTGCTGAGGTGAAAGAGACATACGGACATGCTGCTCAAAAGTTATATGAAATAATCCCCATTTCTTTTATTTTAGCTCAAAATTGAATTGAACTATAACCATGCTTAGGCAATTTGATTTTCTCAGTTTGTGTGACGTGTAACATGAGCTCAGTCTTAATACTGTTCAATTCACTAATTAGTTTGAATCAGCTAGAAAGTTCATAATCACAAAAACAGACACCTGCAGTCTTGTAAAGGGGGTACTGCCGATGTACATCTGAGTAACATCTGCATAAAGATGGTCGTACAATCTGTAAAGTCAAAATATTTGACCAAGTCATCCATACTTGCTCATCAGAATTGATCCCAGTATGGAGCCCTGGAGGACACCACATGATCAGACCTGATCGCACCCATAAAGACAATAAGAGCTAAAGCAACTAAGAGTAGTGTAAATCCCCAATTCGCTTTCCAGCCAAGCAGGAATATTATAGCAACTGACAGAATCAAAAGCAGCGTAGTCTGAAGCCATCAAAAGGGCTTTCTGTCCTACAGGAAAGTGCTCCTCATTGAAGTGCATTTAAAACAGAAACAACAGCCTTTTATTGACACCAGAGAACCCCAGTCCAGTTCCTGGAGGGCCAGAGCATCTACACATCCTTTAGCTCTTTTTAATACACCAGCGGGCGAAGCTGATACCATTAAGCCGATAATTATCTGACTGAGGTGGTTATGAGCTGAGCTGGACTGAAAACCTGTAGACATACCAGTCCTCCAGGACCAGGAATGGAGACCCTTCATTTACACTAAGTCTTGTGGGAGTCTGGAGGAAGATACCCAGGATTCTTCCAAGAAACAGCTTGATGATCAGTTGGCTGCTGGATTCCAACAAAGCCAAACGACTCCCTCTCCTCTCCCTTGTAGCCATTCCTCTCTGTTTCAGTGATCCGGAGCCGAGTCTCTCCATGCGCTCCCACCCTTGTCTCTGCGATTCTGTAACAGGCAAGCACGGACGCCCTCCCCCCCTTCTCCCCATAACCAGCCCAGATAGAAATCTCTAATTTGTGGTCTGGGCTCCCAGAATATGAGCTTTTTTTAATGAGAGAGATCTCTCAGCCTCCCCCGGTGAGCCTGCTGTAATGAATGGAGGTCATTAAGCAAGGCGCGGAAGCTGCCCTAATTGGGACATTTGTCCTCATTGTCAGGCCGGATTGCCCGACCAAGGATCCATCTGCGTCAGCGCGGCCGAGTGTTACAGCACAGCCTCGCCCCCCATACACAGCCCGGCGCGGCGCTAACTGAGATAACAGCTCAGGATAAATGGGATCTTTTTATCTCTAAAAGGCAAGGACTTTTACAGAGAACAAGGGCCTGCATGTTCCTGAGAGAAGTGAGAAACAAGGCGGAGAGGAGGGGGGGGAGAGAGACCGTAGCACAGAGCAGTGTGATGACATTAGAATGAGCTGCCTCGGCACATACTGTAGACAGCACACCTGCTGCAGGACAGCCGACACAACGTGTTGCAGGCACAGATGCATCTACATGGGTACCCTGCCATTGTGCATCACGCAGGGCCTGATGCAGATGCTCACAGGGAAGGCTAATATATGCTGTATACCAAGGTATTGGTAATACGGGGGGAGAAATGGAACTATTCTGCTATATTTGGAGGTGCTGGAAGTAACAGGACTTGACCCTGTAGTAAGTAGCACTCTAGCAGAAGCGTATAATAATGTTGTTGTTAGCACTGTGAAAGTGGACATTGCAGAATCAGTATATACAACAGTATGGGTCAAAGTTGTTTAGCAACCTGCAATAGCGGCAAGAACATGCCGTGACAGAAGAGAGCCGGGTGAAACTCTGCTGTTCATATTTTTAAAATTTGAAAGGAAATGTTGGCTAGGGTTTTTTTCACTTGTGCACACAAGATCGCGGGACGGCACACCCATCTGATAGAGGACCATCCCGGCCGCAGACCCTGCCCCCTCACAGAGGCTTTCTGGCCTGGGCCAAGGGCTCAGAGCCCTGCGGCTGTACGGAAACACCCGGTCACGCCGCCGGACGTCTCTCTGTGCATCGTGTTGTGTCTACCCACAAGACAGGAGAAAATGTTTTTAAATGTTTAAAAGTTTTGCAGGAGATCATTTTTAGAGAGGAGTCGGAGAAGCCGGAGCCCGCAGTTTCACACAGGAGTTGTTTCGGGATGCAGGGGAGCTGCTTCCTGCCTGCTCTGAGCGAAGGTACTCCGCCAGGTGCAGTAGGGGAGACTGTTGTTGTGATCCCAGTAACCCTGTGTTTGGAAACCTGGGCTCCTCCAATCCATGTCATTACGGGTTTTTGATCTAACCAGTGCTCTAATGACAGACCTGACACAGAATGGCTTAGTTGTCATTGGCTGGAACAAAGAACTGGAATGGAATGGAAGGGCAGAGGGTTCCTGTCCCTGCACTAGTTTGTATTGTTTCCCTATTGCCGACTCTCACTTCCCCAGGCATAGTCCTGTACAGGTACTGACTGCACAGGTCTCTCTCTGCTCACGCAGCCGCCAGCATGATGTTCACAAACCAACCTCTTGAAAGGCTCGGGCCTTTCAAATTCTGATCTAATGTTCCGCAACAAATATCACATGGATATTTTGACCAGACCTCCTGTTTTTTCTCATTTCCCTCCTGCGATCAACACCAGCTCAGAGTCTTCATGGCACACCTACAGTCAGAATGGGTGGAGCAGTCAGTCAGCTTCCCTCTAGGATCATTCCTATAGGTAAAGAAGGTCCTGTTGAAAGACACCTACAGGAGGTGATGTCACCTGTAGTCTGTGCAACAGTCGCCCTGTCATGCTCAGAACTGGCACCAACCTGCTGTCAAAGCATAAGTTTATCTCTATTATACTGGGCAATAAACTCTGCACATATTTCACTCACACCATGTTCTGGTACACAACCGTACTGTCCAACGTTTCGAAGGAATTTGGAATTTAATACAGATGGCCATAAATAGCTGAGCACCTTTGCCTATTTGCTATTATGCGTCAACCCTCTTATGCTCAAGAAGGCACTGTACGAAGTCTCAGTCATGTCAAGGTGCTGATTGTGGCTGGCGTCTGCATTAGGCATGCCTCGTTAGTCTTAGCATTCCCATTAGTCAGGAAGGACAAACTAGAGGAACTGAATAAGCTTGTCCCATCTCTCTATAGTGATACACTGACCGGCTAATCCTCAAGGGGTGCAAGCAGAGATAACCTGACAGACTAACCTTCGTGTATTTTAGAGCATGAGGATGATAAACGCGTATGTCCCCACGCAAATCAGTCAAGAGCTGAGGTCCTGGAGAGCCTCAGCTGAGAGGAATTGTTCAGAGAGTTAGGAAAGGCAGCCATGATTTTGAAATCCAAGGCCTAAGTGTTTGGATGTTCCATCCTTAAGACTTCATTTTTGAGAAAAACATCCAGAGCTACTACATCTCCCGGAAAGTGACACACCATAGAAAAACATACACGGTTTATTAACACAGAGAACTGCACAGTAAATACCTGTACAATGGAAATGGGAGATTGCCGTGGTCTGTATCACTGTGATGTTAGTTTTACATTCATAGTGGCATGTTTTAGTGTAGCGACGGTCTGTATTTGTGTGGCACGCATAACAGTGTTAACACCAGTCTGTATTAGTGTGTTACTGCTGTCTATTAGTATGGTAATAGTCTAAACCAGTTTGTTCCCAGTGTGTTTTAGTGCAACAGTTGTTTGTAGTCAGTTGTATTGTGCTATTAGACCGTTTTTGGTACTGGTGTGTGTCATTGTAGTGGTGCATTACTGGTACGTTTTGCTGGGAGCTGTTTTTGAACTGGCTGAATGTTGTGAGCCCTACACAGTCCAGCTTCATGGTCTGTATTCGAGCATCACAAATGGACACGTCATGGGAAACTGCATTTGTCTGGTCTGAGAGAGGATGTAGGATTTTTTAAATTATAATTATTATGCTAGACTGTATGTCGGTGTGGTTTAAGGCAGGGGTCCCTAACCCTGCTCCTGAGTACCCCCACACTAGTCTTCATTCCAGCCCAGCTCTTAAGTAATTAAATCTGTTAGGAAAATGTTTCTGCTACCCCATACAGAACAGTCAGGAATCCCTCTCAGAAGTTAAAAGAAATCTGTATATCATGCACATGGGAGCGAAACACACAGAGATGCCCGGTGTATTTCTCTCAAAGCAGATAAGCTAGAACAGAACTTTAATATTTTTCTGTTATCTATCACCCTGTGCTGATCAGATTGGCAGCATTGCAGAATCAAGCTCATCTTCTTCTTCCCTATTTGCCCTATTTCTTTAATATAACTGGTTACTTAGTTTCGTAGCAGGCGATCCTATACAACACAGTGTAGAATTACATAGTAGCCCTTGTGTCCAGCATTCCTCCATTCCAGTTCAAACCAGTTGTGTATGTCCACCTCATGAAATACTGCAGTGTCAACAGAAAACATATGTATTGACTTTACAAAGCTCCTCTCAACAAATCCATAACTGAACTAACTGGTTGCTTGACTGAAACGTTTACAGGTTGTCTTCTTGCAGTGAAAGGGCAACATCCAGCACATTTTGAAACTAAAAACAGCGATGGGTTCAAGTTAGCACTATCGATTAAAAGTTCAATTATGGAACTTGAGAGTTCAGCTGGAGTGAAAATAAGCAAGTTTGTGGATGCCAATGACCAGAGTTGGGAGCCCCTTTGGTTGAAGGTGTAATCTGAGTCGTGTGCTTTAGTACTTCAGGACACATGTCATTGAACTAGATAACACCTATAGGAGTGTTTTGTTGAAGAGTTTACTGACATCTTTTTTAAAAAAGATCACTGAGTGGCCGCTATGCAGGACACAGCTGGGCGACAGGTCAGAGGATATAGCGCAGTGAATAGGGCTAGTTAAAGCAAAACCCTGACCTCTTGCTCCTTGCACAGCTGGAAGAGAGAACCCAGACCTTCCTACCACAGTCAGCCTTGTCACAGAGGTGACACAACAAAAGCAGCAAAAGACAAGAAATGCGGAGTTCATTTGAATATTGCCAGGCTCTCCAGCTTTGATTCCTGAAGAACAGCGCTGGGCACTGTGCGTCCAGACTAGGACAAAGCAAAGACCTTGGACTCTGTTCTGAAATCAATGCCGTGCAGCTCCAAACGGGGTTTAGCTCAGAGCTTTGCTATCTTATTCAAAAACAGCGAGCGGGGGGAGCCTCTGCGTCCCACCGGCTGCGTTTGATCACCGAGACGAGGGAAAGTTCACACGCGGAGACGAGTCACACCTCAAAGACGTAGGAAAGGCAGCGGCCTCTCTTCCTGTTCACTCCTCCGTCCAGACTCAGCCCCCTCTCCCTGTGTCTCTGTCTCCTTGCAGCACAGAGCCCAACAGCAGCCGACCCCCTGCAGCAGGCCTACGCAGGAGTCCAGCAGTACGCAGGTGCGCAGGAGAGGGGGAGACCAGTGTTGGGGTTTCAAAGGGTGGGATGTGTGATCGAAGATTAAAATACATCCAGTGCCACCGTGGGGTTTTGAGATGCTTTATCTATGTCTGCTTTTTTTATTTGATTTGAGTAGTGTTTGTGCAGACAGTACCTTGCATACCAGTGTTGAAGTGAGGTGTGTGAGGTGTGACCCTGTGTGTGTCAGTGTTTCAGTGAGGTGTGTGTCAGTGTTGCAGTGAGGTGCGTGTGTGTGTCCCCTGTGACCGTGTGTGTCAGTGTTGCAGTGAGGAGTGTGGGTGTGACCTGTGACCCTGCGTGTGCCAGTGTTGCAGTG